TGAGTTGAATGGTTCAGAGGAGAGCGCCCCCTCCAGCTGAGCCAGCAGAGACATAATCTCTGCAGCGCCTCCTCGGCCTGCCCTGGGCCTCCTCCCAGTTAGACATACTTTAAATACCTCCTGCTGCTTTCCTTCCCTCATGCATGGATTATGCTTCATCAGGAAATCTGGGTTGTAGTTTACAACATGACTCCTTTAAACCTGCGCTGTGACCTTCCACCCACCTTTGAGACATTCAGTTAAACTGCATCATAATTTTAAGTTTGAAATCTCATCCTGCACCACACACCCGGACACAAAAACGAGACAAAGCGGCTGAAAAACCAAAACCGTCTTACATGACTCTGAATCACTGACTTTCTGTCCTTCAGTGGAGTCTGCAGAATACCTGACGAGCTCCAAGCTGACACAGGAAGCAGGTATCTGCAGTACACGCTTCAGCCTCAAACACTCACTGCAGGTTATTTTTACTTTGATAGACGATGTTGTGTTTTCACACACACCACTGAGTGTTTTGCTTGACTGTGACCCACATTTGGAGTATGTCTGGGGTAAAAACACCTACGTGCTTTTCTTTTTTGCGTCTGGCACAAACTCTACATCTCATGAGCAGCTTTTTCCTCTTTCTGGGCCAACACATTTGTCAGTGACATAGCTGAGCTGAAGTGGCCCAGATGAAGACTCGGTGTGTCTGCAGCCGCTTTCTGTATTTAATCAGCCAAATTAAACAAAGAGTCTCTTCAAACAGACCCAGTGAAGGAGCTTGAAGTTACACATCATGACCAGTATGGGGCTTGAACCCACGACCTTATTAGTGAACTTCAGTCCTTTTAAATAGTCTGTGTGCAAAAATGTGTTCAGGATTGAAGGAACAGCCCGGCTTAACAGAACCTAAAACCTGACTTTTAGATGGCAGTTATCGCAGTGATGGTTATCTTCTGTGTCTCTGCTTCAGGCACTGAGCAGGCGTTTAGCCGATCATTAGACTTGAGCTGTGCTTAACTTTAGTCAGAGACATTATGAGAGGAACAGAAAGAATCTTTGCTGCTGTTTAAACTGCTGCACGTTAGAGCTCTGAAACTTTAACCTGCCACATTTAAACATTAACAGCCGCAATAACTCAGGCTTAGTGTGTTCAGACTGTTCTTTATTTAGTCACCACATCAAAGCTGAAAGCAGTTATTTCCTAATCCGTCCAGTATCAGGGTAAAACTAGCTGCAGCGCTGTGACTGTCGTTCATGTTAGGCTCT